TACAGGAAAAAGCAGAAAACTCTATACAGGACTTTAAATTATAGTGAAATGCAGGAAAAAAGGAGTTAAAAGGGGAAGAAGCAGTTACCTGGCATATCCCCAGAGTAAGGGACAGTGTGTGTGTGTGTGTGTGTGTCAGAGACCCAAGTAACTGAGCAGTGAGCACCATGTGGTGTTTGTCTCATGATCCTAGTGAGCTCAAATATGTCACCATAGATGGAGTTAGGACACAGCTTTAAACATAAAAACCTGTGTGCAAGGAAGAAGACAGGAATTGCTGTTGTCAGGGCTCTTTGGATTGGGGGGGCATGAGCTCTCAGCACCAAATGTGCTGCACAACTAACAACATTTGCTCCTGCCTCAAATGTTCTTCTGCCTGTTCTATGGTGCCTTCCTTACCTGAGTTCTCCTCTTGCATCAAGCCAGTCTCCTCCAGGACCTTTCACAATTTTTTGAATTCTCAGTCATTTCTCCCACACCTCAACTCCCATACCACACGCTGTCTGTGACATTCATTTGGCATTTGTCACATATTACTTTATTTTATACACACATCACCTATGCACATTTTTCACCAGACCATAGGAGCCAAGAAAGAAAAGATATCTGATTTGTTTACCACATGATTTATCACATGGAGCCCAGTACAAATGCCAGGGTTATTTTAGAGGGAAACAGAATTCAAAGTCAGAAATCCTGTGCTTTAGGGACGGGGATTTAGCTCAGAGGTTCCCCACCTGCCTTGGAAGTGTAACGACTGAAGTTCAATCCCCGGTACCAAAAAATAAAAAAAATAAAAAAAGAAATCCTGTGCTTTAGTCCTGGTTCTGCATTTCATTAGAGGTCTAACCTGATAAGTAAATAACAGGTAACTAACTTCTCTAGGCCTCAATTTCCTCCTTAGGAGAAAAAAAAATGGCTTGCAATAGTACCACATCCTTACACACCCCTTCAGAACAACGCATTAAAAAATGAACGTGAAATCATTTTGTATGTCATTATTCAGATTTAGCCCAGTACTCACTCAACTCTTTTGGTCCTTTCCTCTGTCTTACCAAGTACAGTGGTCTCTCAGTGTCCATGGGAGACTTGGAACAAGTCCCCCATGGTCAACAGAACCTGAAGGTATTCAAATCCCTTCTATAAAATGGCACGATATTTGTATACAGCCTATGTGCATTCTCCTGCATACTTTAAATCATTTTTCACTTATTTATAATACTTAATTCAATGTAATGCTATCTAAGTAATTGTCATACCATATTATGGAATAACAAGAAAAAAGTCCATGAACATGTTCAGTACAGGCACAATTTTTTTCCTGTATATTTTCTGTATATTTTCAACTTGCCTGAACCCACAGATGGATGCAGAATCTGTTATGGAAGGTCAAATGCATATTATATCACATCTTCTAGCAGCATGCTGCTTATAGAAGTTCAAGAAGTATTTACTTTTCTTGATAATTTTGCCAGCAATAGTGATGCTGAGGATGACTGATAACAACTATCAATGAAGAAGACTTACTGGTCACTTAATGCCCAGAAAACCAGATTTTTAGATTTCAATGCACCCTTAAACTATGTGCTTTCTCCCCATCTTCTTCCTGATGTGTGGGGTGAGGGTGTCACGAGCCCTGTAGCCTAGCAAAGGCCCCTTTAAAAAATGTACCCAGGCTCCTCTGCCAACAAGGTTGCTAAAAATACTACTACAGCAAAAGCTGAAATATTTGCAGAGAAAACTGAATTTCCTGCTACCCGCTCCCCTCTACCCAAATGGGTAAAATCCTGACCTAAGAAACCCCCAGATCAGCTCTGCCAAAGGCACAAACCTCCTACCTTCCACCCTTCCTCATTATAGAGTCCCTATGGGCTTGAGCTGGGATGTTATGTTCAGAAATTGCCCACTCCAAAGAGGGAAAGCCACGGTATTGGCAAATAGATTGTCACATGTCTTGGCTTTCCTCTCTGCTTACTAGGACCAAACCTCTCCAGATCCCCCATCTGTCCCAAGAAGAATCTGTATTGGACCACAGAGCTTCACACTCATCCATCTTTTACCCTCTCCTTTGTCTAATCATCTCCTGTTTGCCTGCTTTGGCTTCTGTTCTCTCCGCCTCTACCTCCACGCCCTCTGCTGCCTCCAGCCCACAGCACTGACATGCCCCAGCTCCATTGCTAATCCAGCCTTTCTGGAGCTCATCTCCTTCCCAAACCTATAGTCCTTTTCCTTCAGGAGTCATTAGGCTGACTAGTGTCGAGGTTTTGACATCAGAAACATCAAGGAGAACTATGGGGTTGAGCTGGTTAATAGCTAAAACTCAGGGCCAGGTATTTAGCTCAGTGGCACCATGCCTGCCTTGCAAGCTCAAGGTCCTAAGTTTGATCCCTCGTACCAAAAAATAGCTAAAACTCTGTCCTGTGGAACCTAGGACCTGGGCCAGGCAGGCCAGCACAGGTAACATCACCTGGCATCACTCTGCCAAGGCCCAGAGCCTTGCAGAGACAGACTCAGCAATTCATGCCTGTCCCATTTCCTGGCTCAGTTATTCAAGAATCATAAGCTCAGAATCCTACCAGCTCACCTTGTTCACAAAGTCCAGCCGCCTCACCCAGAAAGGGAAACTCTCACCAGGCTTAGTGTGGCTCTGGCTCCGAGGCAGTTAAGGGATCCAAGCTGAGGAGTTGTTAGGTGTCACTGTGTGACAATCCACTCTGGGTGTGTCTCTGTGGCTGTGTGGACACTGTGTATCTACACCTTTGGGTCTATGTGTCTGTGTCATTTGCCTCTCAGTGTTTGAGTTTGTGTCTGTCTTCTCCTTCCGGTGTTTGTCTTTCTCTCCGTCTTTTCCTCACCTTGGAGCCCACCCATCCCCCAGGGCTAAGCACTGTGGCCAGTTCTGCGTAGGCGCCTCAAGTGGGCAGTTGCTGAAATGGTTGTTTCTAGGATGGAACTGGCAGTTGCTTTATCTGTTCTCCCATGGGTCCACCAGTATTCAGAGACACCTTCACCCCACATAAAGGCGTCTTTCAGGAAAAAGGAAGGGCTATGCTGCCTGTGAGCGAGTTTGGAAGAGCTGTTGTAAAACTACCCCCCACCTTCCGCTTTGACCAGCAGGAAGAAGGGCCCAGAGGCAGCACTGCCTGCAAAGGGATGTTGCCTAGCAACTTGGGAGGCTTTGCTGCAAACTCACCAAATCCCAAATTCCTCTGCTCTGATTTGGGAAGGGAAAAGCACAGAGTCCAGGCCTGATAGCCTCTCTACCCCTCAATTTCCTCATTCCCACTGCCCTCTGAATTCTGAAATAGAAGTCCAGAGAGAACTGGCACAACCTAGGCCTCCAGATGTGCCCATGATGTAGGCAAGGGCTTGAGCTCCCAGGACATCTTGCCATTTGGTGGAGGTGGGGGATGGAGCATGTGCCAGAGACAGATTGGGGAACAGATTTTTAGTTACAGGGGTGGGTGGGTCTCAAACATGCCGGGAGAGACACCCCTGCACCCCAAGCTCTAGAATCTCAGCCAGCCCCCAGCTCAACTCAGGGCCCCAAGCTGACTATCCTGTCCCTGACCTGAACAGACACTGGAATTTCCCTGGAAAACATTTTCCCTTTGGCAAGGAAAGCCTCTGGCCCAAACATTTGGGTGCCATGGAAGCATGTAACAGCCACACTGTGATTGGTCACAGTGGCTTTACATTCCCTGAAGGGCTGTTTCAGGGTCCCCTGTGCCAATCAGAGCCACAGGGCAATTCCCCTCTGTCCACCTTGACCAGCCAGAATTTCCTAGCCTCTCCCCTTTCCCCTGGAACCTTAGCTAAGAACGACTTTGTAGCTTTCTCAGAGATGGTCCACCCTACCCACACAACACCACACTGCCAGCTCTCTGGCACCCTGGCAAGCTGGGAGAGGTTGGCACCCACAAAAGTGGTGAGTTGCCCCTCCCAGATGCTCCTTCCCTATCTCTCCTTCCCAACTTCTCTCAAAGCCCACATCCTTCCTCACTATGGAGCCAAAGGGCCAATTATTTTTAATAATTCCCAACACTACTTGGGTACACGCTCTTCTTCTTCTCCCAAACATCAGCAGGTGAGGGTAGCTAAATTTTGCCTTATTTTGAGGCTGTGGATCCAAGCTGAGGGAGAGTCTGATATGAGGAGTGGAAAGGGAGTGAGGTGTGTCTCCTAAACATGTACCATAAATACCTGCAGACGGTGTGCTGTACATTCTGCTTGGCGCAAGACAGACAGACAGACAGACAGACGGTAGGACAGAGCTGGATAAGTCCTGCTGCATGTTCATAGAGTGATCGCATGTGTGTGTGTGCACGTACGCGTAGATGTCTACATTTACCTGCATCTGTCCAGTTGTGTGTACAAGGTCTGTGTAGTTGTTTTCGCAGGTTGTGTCCTCAGTGTGTGTACACCGAAGAAAGGCACATTTCAGTAAGCCCAAGGAATAACATGTGGACATATGTGGAGGGTGAGCCTTTGTGTTGACGTGTGCCCACCACCAGGTTGTGTACCAACAGCTTTCTCCATTCCACGACAGGAACAATGATGAGACTCCCCCCTCCCCGGTCTTCGGGAGCCTTCTTTGCGGACTGAAGAGAAGGGAAGTTAGAGGGAACCATATCTAGGACTCCAGCTATGTTATGGAAGTGTAGGGAGGCGGGTGGGAGTGCGTGGTTTTCTGTCTATGGGCGTCAGGGCGTGCTGTGCCCAGATGTGAGTGTTGGTGCCCTGGATGTCGGGGTCTCTTCTGCCTACTCCTCCGGCAAGGATCTGTCTGGCTGTCGGCCACTTAACTAGCAACAGCATAGGATTTGGGAGGATGGGGTGTGTAGGAGGGATGGATGGAAGTGTGTAGGCGGAGGGGTTGGGGCAGAAGGGGGAGCGAGGCGGAGGGAACCGCAGAGGGAGGGGTCCTCCCCAGATCGCCCCGCCCACCATGTCAAAGGCGCGTTCTGATTGGCCTCCCGGCCGCAGGGCTCAGGTTACATTCGCTTGCAGAGCAGAGCGCGGGAGACAGGACCTAGGGGAGAGCGGCTGGTACAGCGCGGGTCGGCGGGCGCCCCACAGCCCCGGAGCCGCCACCCAGCATCACATAGACCCCACCCCCGC